ACCGCTGAATGTGAATCCAGCTTCACCGATACGAACCACCCGGCTTGAGTGACATCTTGGTCATAGTCGGACCTGACGAATTTTCGGAAGGGATGTATCCTTGGCCATCTTGCACCGTGGTCACCGCCTGTCGCATGACCGAGCGTTCATGGCTTGAGCAACTCGAATGTAGCCACTTCAGCGATTATTTAAAAATCACTACACCACAGTGGACATGCCAGCGCTTTACGTGGGCTGAGCGGGGGATCGCACCAACTACTATTCCCATGTCACCTTCGAGTTTCTGGAAGATTCATGGTCGTGCTGCGTTTCCGCTGCTTAAACCAGTGGCTGATATGATGTTTGCAATCCCAACTTTGTCCGCATCCAATGAGCGATGTTGGAGCATTCACGACTTTATCCATTCTAAGAGGAGAAACCGGTTGTACGCATCGAAAGTGGAGAAACTTGTGTTCATCTACTCGAACCTTGCATCTAGTACAGGCGAACCAATTCGAGATCATTTGGCTGATGACATGTACCCCGACGCACACGACGGGGATATGGATGTGCAGGACGACGAACGCATCGATGACGATGAAGATTCCGATGAGATCATGCAAGCGATGTCGGATATTGGATAAACAGGATGCCTTGGATAAATATCTTCTACTATAAATGGCTTCATCAAACCTGGTTGTTGCGTTTGCTTATCAGTACTTGCATCCCTCTCGAAGTTCTCCACCTTCGTTTCGTCCGCGATCTCCACCGTCTGGTTGTCGTCCTCCACGTCATCATCGATCAGGACCGCCTGCACGTGCTCGCCGACAACGGCGAGCACATCGATCATCTAGCTCTAGTACCGGAAGATCCTCTTCATCTCCTCCGTTTTCCTGCCCCTGTTCATCAGCGACGTCCTGTTCAATCTCGTCCGGCACACCAAACACAACCACGGCCACGGGGTCCTCGTCCGTGTCGACCATTAGCGCCACACCGTCCGACGTCTCGTGGCCCGTCGTGAAGGACGGAAGACACGTCCTCCCGTGAGAGTCGTGGGCGACGAGGTGACCTTCCTTCAAACTTGAAAATCAAAAGTAAATTATTTTTTCAAACTTCAAAATCAAATGTAAATTTTGTTTTCTCTCTCCAAATTACCGCTATTTACCCGGTTACCTAATTCCCCGGTAATTACCCGGGTAAATCACAACACTGCTGGGTCAAGTTCAGAGACGTGACAGCCAATCAACATGAGCAACACGGACACTGTTAGAGATGCCGCCGAGGCCCCCGAACGCTTGAGGAGAGCGGAGACTGTGCTCCAGCACCGCACGAGCCGCATCGTACTGGTGCTGGAGCAGTGTATGGACTCGCATAACCACCAGGCTGTACTGCGGACCGCCGAGGCGCTGGGCATCCAGCATGTGTGGCTCGTTGCCGCCAACGACCAGCAGCTCAAGACACACCCTGACAAGAGCAAGAAGACCAACAAGTCAAGCGGCAAGAAGATCACCAAGAACTGCGCCGTGTGGCTCACAGTGCGCGAATTCTCGAGCATTGCAGCCTGTCTGGAGGTGCTGAGTGAGCACGAAATGACCATTTGGGCCACAGATCTGTCGCCGCAAGCCGAGCCGCTCGTGGCTAGTAACAAGCCCAGTGAACTGCCTGCACGACTGGCCGTCGTTATCGGACGAGAGACTGATGGAGTAAGCCCCGAGATGCTGCGAGCGGCGCATCGTCGAGTGTATTTGCCGCTCTTCGGCTTCAGTGAGAGTCTCAACTTGTCGGTGGCCACAGCGTTGGTGCTGCAGCGACTGCTGGACTGGTTCCCAGAGGTACGCGGCGATCTCGACGAACAGGAGAAGCAGAGAATTCGCGAGAAATGGCATCCTCAACTAGTGAGTAACCCGACGCAAGCAGCTCAGGCTGAGCCGTGGACTTCGGGTCGAATTCCTATCCGTCCACTTGGCGACTTGCGCCGCGAAAAGCAAGAGGCGTGGGTTCCTAAGAGTGTGCGGCAACGTGAGCAAAATATGCCAGAGGTGAGAGAGCGTTTGGGCAAGAGGAAGCAACCATCGGACGATAGCCAGACTGACAAGAAGGGATAGTCTCTGCGAGTTACTGGTACATCTGAATGATAGACTTTATTCGTGCAGCTACTACAGGACTCAAGCGGAGACCACCATCCGCAGCAACTGCTGGGTTTTCTCCTCGTTCTTGGCAATGACAGCTTTGAGCGTATTGATCTTGTGCAGTTGTTCCTTGACCTGCTCCTCCACTTCTCGGAGCTGCACCTGCAGAGGCTGCAGAGCTTCTTCGGTTCGCTTCTGCTCGTCTGCCAGGGCATCGCGTTTACGCGCGTATTCCTTACGCCAGAACTCGAGCTCCTTGGACATGGCATCCAAGTCTTCGTGCACAAACTCAACGCTTTTTCCTACTGGGTTAGCGGCTTGGCACAGACGCTGGATGTCTGCACGGAGCGCGTTCATTTCGGCCAGCGACGATGCTGCTGCTGCGCTTGAACTCTTCATGCGTTCTGGTTTGAACGACTTATTGCGCCGTCCTAGTCGAATGCCCGTCTCCACTTCATTTGTAGCAGCCGCAGCCGTGTCTTCGCCTTCCTTAGCACGACGAGCAGCTTCTTCAGCGCTTTGATCCTTGAGGATGTCACGCACAAGACGTCCATGAGCACCGGCATCACCGGGTAGAAGTGCCGAATGAGGTTGATTAGATGTGTCATCGCCTGCAGCAGCTTCGTCTTCGCTGTCAGTATCGTTATTGTCTCCATCCTTCATGATGCCTGCAACGGGAGCTGCTTTAGCATCAGGCACCATGAGCCTCCCCACCTCAGTAACATTCTCTTTGAGTTTTGGTGGACGGCGCCGTGCAGTTGTGGGGCGCGAAGTGCGACTCGTTCCACTCGTGCCTGGAGCGCTCGTACCCATGCGGGCCCCTCCATCGTCAGCGTCGTCACCTTTCGCTTCGAAACGCAGATTCCCACCATCGTCGTCATTGTCTGCGTCTCCAGCGCTGCTTTTCACTGCCATAGGCTTCTTGGGGGCAGAGAAACTACCCGATTCTGCTTCTTTCAGCTTCTCCTTGGCTTCCACGGCAGGTTGAGAATCTGTCCGCTGCTTGCTCTCTGACGGTGTAGTTGAACGGGACGGCTGCTTGGTTTCAGGAGCTCGCTCGCGACTTCCAGGCTTCTTAACAGTTGCACTGGAACTGCGAACTGCAGTGTCACCAGCCAGCACGCGTTGCACGGCCTCTTTCGAGCTGCCTGCTTTGCATGCGACCGTCAGCAACTGCAGAAACTTGCACGTGGCCTCCGGTTCCAGTCCTGCGACGATCTTGGCTGGTTTAGCCTCCATCTCCACATTGAGGTGGCAGCCAACACAAAGGATTATCTTGGTTAGATAGTCCATCTTGGGGCCCTTCTCCTTGATAGTGCCCGAGTCGAGTTCTTCAGCAGAAAAGAGTCCTTCGGCAAATCCAGTCACACGCATCACCTCGGAGATAATGTCGTGCAGGAATCGGAATGGAGGCTTGCCCAGGAGTTTGGGAGACATCTTGGGCTTGCTGATGACCTGCTCGACGAGAGTTTTCGTGCGCTCAATGTCGCCATTGCATTCGGCGATGCTCTGCTGCAGTGCTTCATCATGGTTGTTGTCCTTGCTGCTGCTACTACTGCGGCTCGGTGCAGCACGACTGGTCGCGGGTGCCGATTGTTTGGATGACGCGGGTGGTGCCTGTACTTCACCTTTGCTCTCTGCACTCCGAGGTGGGGCTGCAGCACCATCGCTGCTTCCTTTGGACTCTGTCTTACTCTCTCGTCGTGACTCAGCCTAATGGGAGACATATTAGGATATTTTTAATGAGCGCAGCTACAACTCAACCAACCTTTTCCTTCTCCTTGACTTCAGCGGAGCTGCTGCGGTCCTTCGAGCTCGGACGCGCTGCAGCGGGTGGAGCTTCCGCTGCAGGAGCTGCTTCTCCTTCCGCCGCGAGCGACGGAACCTTAGCGAGAGCGGTCTGTATGGCCTTGTTCCAGTCTAACGATGTGTCCTTGGCGGCTTGGGCGAGTCCCTGCAGTAAGATATTGGTGTTCTCCGGCTCGAGGCCGGCTACGATCTTAGACGAGCGCACGTCGATGTCCTTGCCGATACACTGGCCCACGCAAACGATCATTTTATCCAGGAAGGCGGTCTTCTGCGGCTTGTCCTTGAGATTGGCTGAGCCCAACTCGAAGTCATTGTAGAGCCCCTTAGCAAAACCCGTGCTCTGCGTCACGGCTGTAAACACGTCGTGCAGGAAGCGGAAGGGTGGCTTGGCCAGTAACTTGTCAGCCAGTTTGGGCTTGGTGATCAGTGGCTGTAGCTGCTCCTGCGTGCGCGCGATCAACGTCTCGAGCGAGTCTCCCATTGCGGCCTGTAAACTGCGGACCTTGAAGCGACGCAATCATGATCAATTTGAGCGGTCGCATTAGTGATGTGATCCACTCCTATTTAGTGTGGTGTACGTTATATGCGACATGTTGGTTAGTTTACGACAGTCAGTCCAATTTAGCGACTTGTCCCCAGTATTTAAGCCAGTGCCGGTGTCGGAAGAACCCTCGTTGCTCGCACTGACGTAACACGATCGTAGTCGACAAGTTGAGCGCTCTCCATCATGACCGTGCTGCTGTGGTTGTTGCTGCTCTTCGTGGGCTTCGTGACGGCGCTGGCCAGCAGCGCTAAGCTGCGCAAGAACGCCTTCATCTGGTTCTCGTATGTGACCATCACAGGCTGGTATTATTGTCGCGTGCTGCACAAGAAATACGCGGGAGACAACAACAAGGAGGCCGTTGGCGCGTCGCCACCCCCGAGCTCCAGCGGAAGTAACAAGAATCGAGTTTCATCCACATCGAGAGCCGGCGAGGGCCGACGTGACCCGGACTTGGTCTACTTTGAATCGCGCGAGGTGGTCGAGCGGCGCCAGCATGAGCAACAGGATGGATTGGAGCGCAGCGGAGTGTCTGAGCGCTCAAGCCACATGAGTGACTCGGGATCTAGTGGAGGTTCGGACGTCGGTGCTGCAATCCCCAGTAAACGCAAGCGAAGCCTGTTCCACAGTCGCCGCAAAGCCGCAGCCGAGGAAGCCGTGAGACGCGTGAGCGACGCCAGCTCCGCCGATCTCCTCACCAACTCGGGCGTGTCTGAGGTTAGCGACCCCGTCACGCCCACACGCAACACACGCAACAGCGCCACTAGACGAACGTACACTGGGCGAAAGAAGCCCGAGTCGTGGGCGGATTAATAAGCAGACAGAGGATCAACGTTGCGGACGTACTGAGCGAGGCACGAGAAGAAGATGAAGTTGATGCCCGCGTGGAATGTAAACCAGTGAATGAAAAACTGCATGGACAAAATCGATGGAGCATTTTGTTGTCTTCAAGCGGTGGCCAATGCCGATGTACTGTTTTACTGATTAGCAGTGTATTATCTCGTAGCTTACTGAATTAACGATATCTTTTCTCCAATCAGATGGAAGTAGATGCAAAAGCGGAATATCAAGCTGCTACCGTGAGTCACTGGCAGATCAGCGGCTTCCTTGGTAGTATGTTCGGCTTCAACGTAAATAAGCTCAAGCCCAACCTCAAGATGGCTGTGCATCGCATCGGAATCGTCAAGAACAAGAAGGCGAACGCAGCGCTGGCACAGCGGCGGGAGGTCGGACGGCTGTTGGCGGACGGCAAGGAGGAGAAGGCGCGCATTCGGGTGGGTATAGATTGCGGCAAATGTGCTGTGTGTACATATCCAATAATTGCGCTGTCTCGCAGGTGGAGGGAATCATCCGCGACGACTTTACGATGGAGGGCTACGAGATCCTGGAGCTGCTCTGTGAGCTTCTGGCCGAGAGAGCGGTGCGTCAGCGTCCGGTAGTGCTCAGCTTTGCCTAGAACTGACGTCGTTGCTGCCAACAGAACCTGATCAAAACCGAGGCAGACTGTCCGTACGACATGCGGGAGGCCGTGTGCACGCTCATTTGGGCAGCGAGTCGAACGGAAATTCCAGAGCTTGCGGAGGTCAAGAAGCAGCTCACCAAAAAATACGGACAGGACTTCGAGGCTGCAGCTATCCGGAACGTCGACGGCTGTGTGAACGAGCGCGTGATCCAGAAACTGAGTGTGCAGCCACCAAGCGCATTTCTCGTGGTTAACTACATGAAGGAGATTGCCAAGGAGTTCAAAGTGGACTGGGAGCCTGACGAGGCAGAGGTGACAGACCCGCTGGCACCGATTCCAGCACCCACCGGCGCCACAGTCACGAGTGGGGCTGTCTCTGGACCTGAATTTGCTACACTCTACGCATCGGTACGCGGCTTTTGGCTTGTGGCAGGTTAGTATGTCCTACAGATGCAACGCTGACCCTTGTGTAACTTGTGCAGGCTCCTCCATCCGGTAACACACCGCCTTACCTGCCCAACGTTCCTACCAGTGAAGCTGCTGCCCCTCCACCCCTTGAGGCCTCCCTGTCGCGACGGAGTGTGAACACCTACACGAATCAGCCAACGCACTACTACTCCGACACGTCGTTCCAGCCATCATCCACACAACAGTATGATGATGCTCCCACGCATCCAGCACAATCGTATTCAGCACCCGCGCCATATATGGAAAATCCTCCTCCTCCACCTAACGCTGCATCTGCCCCAGCTCCGACGGCGAGTAACGGGGGCATCCCAGATTTTGACGAGCTCACTGCACGCTTTGAGAGGCTTCGCAAGCGCCAAGACCGCCACGACCAGGAGAACGCCTCGTTCACGTTCTAGAACTGCATATGGCAATCGTCTGAATGGAATAACAATAGTTGTGAACCACTGCGGGGATACTGCATCGATTGTGGTGGTGTTGCTACCAAACTCTTTCCACTGCACTATTCGCAGATATGCCCGCTTCCTGCCTGCTGCTTGAGGTAATTGCACAAAACCCCGAAAAGCAGCAGGATTAGTGCATACATGCATGAACTTACTAGTTGTGCTTCAGCACTAGCGACGTCACTACCGTGGAAGCTGAGCTAATAACCTGGTTTAGACGCCTAAGCTCTGAGACGAATGCACGGATTTGACGCTGCATTTTGTTGCAGTTTACTGTGTATCTCTAAAATATTTTCCAGAACATAGTAAAATAAAGATTATGCTCGAACTGTTTTGAGCTCGTTTAACAACTTGAACTTTATTTCACACAAATCGTACGTTAAAATAAGCCTGCGCTCACTTCAAGATTCCACTCATTTGCCAATACGACTCCAACCTCGCAAGAACCCAACAGCTAATCATGAGTTTTGTGCCCGTCGCCCCCGACTGCGATTTCCCCATCCAGAACCTGCCGTACGGCATTTTCTCCACCAAAACCAATGAGAAGAAGCGCGTGGGCGTCGCCATCGGAGACTTCGTACGTCTCTCTGTCTTGGCAATGTGCTAGGATCCCCTTTACTGACACCTTTAATGCCAATACATACAGGTGCTGGACTTGTCTGTGGTGGAGACGGAAGGATTCTTTGAGGGCTTCGACGCCGCCTGCTTCCACGACTCGACACTCAACCGATTCATGGCGCAAGGCCCCAAGGCGTGGGCCACGGCGCGTTCGACTGCGCAGCGCCTGTTGTCAGCCGATGAACCCACGCTGCGCGACAACGAGGCCCTTCGCCAGCGCGCTCTGATTCCCATGGAGAACGTGCGCATGCACTTGCCGGCCAAGGTGGGCGACTACACCGACTTTTACTCGTCCCGCGAGCACGCCACCAATGTCGGCCGCATGTTCCGCGGCGAAGACAACGCATTGCAGCCCAACTGGTGCGTAGCAACGTGGGTTTGACTTGTTATTCAGCATGGTAAACTAACTATACTATAATACTGCAGGTTGCACTTGCCGGTCGGCTACCATGGACGCTCCTCGTCGATCGTCACATCCGGCACAAATGTGCGTCGTCCGTGCGGCCAGCTGCAAGCCGACAAGGCGGACCCGTCCAAGGGATCCATCTACGGTCCATGCCGTGTTCTCGACTACGAACTTGAGATGGTAAGCGCTCTGTGAGCTCGACCTGTCACTTCTTCTAGCTCTGACGTTGTTTTCCTCGTCGCCAGGCTTTCTTCGTGGGCCCATCGAACAATCTTGGTGAGCCAATTCCGATGAGCAAGGCAGAGGGTCACATCTTTGGCGTGGTGTTAATGAATGACTGGAGTGGTGAGTTGCCATTCCTTACAGTTTACTTAAGTACTTCGTACAAGTATGATCGTGGACTAACACTGAGTTGCACACTAGCTCGTGATATTCAGAAGTGGGAGTACGTTCCGCTTGGGCCATTTGGAGCCAAGAACTTCGCGACTACAATTTCTCCCTGGGTTGTGCCCCTCGCTGCCTTGGAGCCGTTCCGCTGCGAGCCGAGCTTTGGACCAGTCCAGAAGGACCCAACGCCGCTGCCATACATTACGGACCCGGACTATTCTCGCGGCACCTACGACATCAAGCTGAACGTAAGTCGCAATTTGAATTGTACTGGGATTCATAGTACATTGTAGTCTAACGGACATTTGCTGGTTGGGTTGTGCAGGTCTCGGTAAAGCCGGAGGGTTCCGATCAAGCCTACACCATTACGAAGAGCAACTTCCGCAACATGTACTGGAACATGAAGCAGCAGTTGGTGCACCATACAGTCACGGGGTGCAACATGCAACCTGGAGATCTCTTGGGCAGCGGCACTATCAGCGGCAGTACGGACGACAGTTTGGGCTCGATGCTGGAGTTGAGTTGGCAGGGATCCCGCGAGATCGCGCTTGGAGACACTGGCAAGACGCGCAAGTTCCTGCAGGACGGCGATACCGTGGCGGTCACTGGGTTCTGCCAAGGCAATGGCTACAGGATAGGCTTTGGCCCATGCGTGGGCAAGATTCTGCCGGCGCACCAGTAAAATACCTCCAGTGACGATCAGCCGATTTTTCCTGCCAAAGACTAGCAGCTCTCCGAAGTTCACAAGTAATTGGACCGAGAACAGCCATTCAATTTTACCACTGCACTAAATCGTTGCCTCGGCCGTCTTAAACAGATCCTTGAGCGGCACTTTCATCGAAAACTCGGCACGCAAAGTAGCTGATGGATACGTCAGCTCGTCGTCCTCTTCTAATGAGGGTAACTTGAGACCATGCACAGTTTGGTCACTTACTGCAACTTCACTCTTTGCTGTCTCCACAGTACCCACTGCAACCTCCGGATCATCGATGCCATCGAATTTATCTTCCAATAGAGAAAAGTCCACACCTCGAGCATGCAGTTTTGACTCGAGCGCCTCCTTCCACTCGTCCACGACGACACCAGCATTCAGCATGGCAGCACCACTACGGTCGTTGTGTGCAGCAATTCGACTTTTTGTCTCCTCCAGTGAATCATGCGGCGAAGTATCAGTCTCAATTCCCCATCGTCCACGCAGGAAGTCGAGCTTTTGCTGCTCGTCATTCGTGTACATATCGCCGCCCTCCGTCCCTTGAGTCGAAGAAGAGCGATCCATCAGAGACACCGAATGCAAAGAGTGCAGCACTTTCATCAACATGGACAGCGATGGATAATCGTCGCTCAGGTAGCGAAAGTAATCGTCCACAACTGAAAACTCAGCCACAAACTCGCTCGTGAACACTCGCTGTGACAAATGCAGGTAAGCGGTCACCTCACCTCGGAGAGAGTTCGGTTTACGCCCGAAGAGGGATCGGAAGTATGAAACGCTGAGATCACTCAACGTGCTCAGTCTGGTAATGTCAGTGCTCTTGAGGTCGCGTAACCGGAGACGTGGATTCAGTGCATGAGCCACGACGAATAGAGGCTGCTCCATTTGCTCCCATACCACCTCCAATGCGAGCTGCACGGTGATAAATCCTTCAGCGGCAGTGAACAATGCACCCAAGTGCTCCAATGTCTCGGAGAGGGTCAGTCCAGATCGACAGCTATCGAATGCGTTCGTGAAGGCGTGCAGCAGATTGTACACACGCTCCAATAGTGAACGATTCAGCGCATTCTCCACCAGCCTCTTCGCATTCGCCGCGCCTCTTTTCGTACTAGACTCGAATGTTTTTTCGTCCAGTAGCACTTGGATGAGCGTAGCACATGACTCCCAGCTACGGCAGGGACTTGTATGAACGCCGCCGTCCATTTCCGATAGTCGCTCCATCACACACGATCGAATGGACTCCAATTGCCAGACCTCAATCAGCGAGGACACGACGGCAAACATTTCCGCAGTCGCCAGAAGCTTCAGCAATGGGAACTGCAGCATATCCTCCATGTCCGACAAGAATGTTACTTGAGGCCAATGCGAGGGAGCACGCAGAATCCCCGCAGCACGCTGAGTCATCATGTTGTATGGCAATACTACAGCCGCGAGAGCCAACTTTGTCCCGTCAACGCAGAGCCGGATATGTTCATCTAGCCACCGAGCCATCTCGAGTCCGTGGCTGTAAGCAAGAGCGGCCTCCACGCCAGAATCCGGTTTTTGTGCCCGGACAAATGCAAGCGGTGCAATAGCTTTCCCATTGGTTACAATGCCGTCGATTACTGGTATCTGCATGTCCACGACCTGGTGACTGGTAGTGAGGTTGCAGTGCACCATAACCGGCCAAGATCCGGTAGGCGTGACAGACTCGACAGAGAAGGCAGACGTGCCTACTGCCGGAGGAATGGGCTCTTGTAACTTAGTGAGCTCGTTGAGGACCGTCGCGCTGTGAACTTCATCCAATACACGAGTACGCAAGTCTCTCGATCTCGGTATCAGTTTGTTTATGACGTCAGATGCAGGTATCAGTGCGCGGAATAACTGCTTGGCGCTGTCACTTTCCACCCATTCAAATGGCAGGTTATGTTCGAGAAGAACTTGCACCAGGGCGTGGTTCACAGTGGAGCTATCAGGGGAATGCGCTGAAGACGTGCTGGCCACCTCCAATCTGGAACGCTTGGATCCGGACACATCCAGCGATGTAGCAGCGGAGGAAGTACTTACACCACCAAGACTTGCGTTGTAAATCCTGGCCATCGCTGCTGGATCCTTGGGCACATGGAGGCACTTGGACAAGTGTGTCTGCATGTTGCTCTTGCGGCCCATGACAATGGCTGGCTCCATCGAAGCCTTCAGGTTCTCTGGAGCGTGTTCATACGCCTGTTGACAGAAGTTGCAACGTGCGTAATAGTACGCACTATCTTTCTTGCGTTCGAGACGCGTAAAGTACATCCACTCGTCCAGCGCCAGTCGTGTCGAGGCTATGGGAAACATCGCAGCCACAGGGGGTACATCAGGGTCTGTTGTAATTTCAGTAGTGGGAGCAGAGGTAGCAACCGTCGCTCCATGACTGGCAGCAGCTCCAGCAGCCAGGGTACTGAACACGACGCTAGGCAGCATCCCGTTGCCACGCTGAAGTACATGCAGCCTGCGCTCCATAGATGGCAGGTCCCCTTTAAAATGCGGACAGAGCGAGAGGTGTTTGCGCATCTTCTCGCGTCTGCCCACGAGCTTCTCCGGCACCAGCAGTGGCTTCTGATCCTCCTCTGCCTCGTCGTACGCGCGCTGGCAGTACTTGCACAGGGCGTAGAAGAAATTAGACTTGCCGATGTAGCCTTCATCCTGCAGTCGTGTGAAATGTTCCCATTCTTCCATCATACAGTGCTTGCCGCGGCCGCCACGGGATCCACTGCTCTCTCCGTCGGCTCTGCGCTTGCGCTTCTCGCCCGTTGACGCCGGTGACGCTGTGGCAACCGCGCTTGTCGTCGTGCTGGATTCAGCCGCTTCCGCTTCTGCCTTTGCCTGGAGCTCATTCTGGTACTGCGTGGCGTATATAGGACATATTTTGAGGTGCGACTGCATAGCGGAGCGGCGGCCCGTGAGCTTGGAGGGCGCATTAAAGAGTTGTTTTTGCTCGTACCCGGCCACGCAATGGCGACAGAGCACATACCAGTAGGAAGAATTCGGTACGCGTCCCTCCTCAGGCAGCTTCTGGAAGTGGACCCACTCATCCATCGTGCAGCCCCGCCCCATTGTTGCCGTCGGCTTCAACTTGAGCGCTATTCAACCTGTGGCGCATTAACTGGCGGGGAAGAGGGAGAAGCTTTGTTAAGAACCTCCGCTCCATAAATATGTGTGGACCCCTAATTGTGGGATAATTACTCTAAAAAGGCGTTTTGCCATAAATTTTTGTAGACCCATAATTACGGATAAATTACTTTAAAAAGGCGTTTTAGCTTTGAAGTGAGGGCATGGAAAAAATAATCTAATACAATTATTATGGGTATACTGACGGAATAACTTATTATTGGTAGAAGAAAATTTTAATTATTATTATTGCATTGTTTGAAGCAAAACTCCCTAATCTAGTGACCATACAAAAACCAAGCTTAAATTAGCTAATTGCAATAATTATGTTATTTTTTGCACGTAATTATTTTTTATTGAAAACTGGATATTATAATGCTTATTATTGGAAGATTTTTTTGAAGTATAATTAAATATTGTATTTTCCATGCCCTGCGGCAAGCTATTGACACGCCGGACACTGGCACATATTTTTTTTTATTAGCTGCCGAGATCCTATAGTCATTCTGACTACGACGAAAGTCTGTGCTCATACATGTTACATGTTATTTTGCTTTTTAATGGTTTTATAGAGTGTGTAGTATACAAAAAAAAACAAAAGACGAAGCGTAGTGCATACGCGTGGTGCTTTTTGTTCGTCTGACAAGCAAGTGGGGCATCGTAGTGACAGCACCGCAAGCGCATAATGGCCATGGCCGTCGATCCGCTGGCACCAATTCCAGCAAAGGCAAGGCTTATAGAGCGTACAAAGGAGATGGAATGTCCGTTTTGGATACCATGCAGCACTGCTGCTGTAATCAAGACGGAGGCGTACGGCATTGCGTGAGTAGCCGTGAGTACGGCGGCACACGGAGATCCTGGAGGCCCCAGGCTAAAGCAGATGGAAATCATAGGCAGCTCATGAAGAAGATGCTACGAGAAAACTAATCATTGATACATGTAATTGTTGCTCTATATGCGACCCGAGCACGACGTCGCCATCGCTGGACTCTACCCCTACATCGACGGCTGCGTTGATGGCTGTGCCAGATCCATCGAATCCGCGTGCAACCACCGAGTGAGTTCGAAATCACCAAGAGCTTCTTGGCAAGGAGATGAATGTGGACTGGGCCTGTATTTCCTTCAAGACGGCCTTATGACTCCTAAGTTTGGAGCGTTCTACAGTAGAAGTGCGTGTACTGTCGAACAACTCGAGTGACTCGACTCGAGTCGAGTCATCAAGATCCGCCACTTCAACATGGGCAATACTGAAATCAACATATCATCTCTTTTTCAGAAAGTATGGAACATACACAAGGCCATATGAATAAGTTTACAGCTGTCGACAGTGGTACACCATAGAGTGCGTATTGTTCGCGCATTGTTCCAGACATGCCATTTTTGGTCAATTGTAGTGTAGCTCCACTGCAATTCATGTACTGGCAGTAGCTCCAGCCGTGCCAACAATGGCAGTGCTGTCGTGAATCACGAGCGCGGTGACATCGAGGATACTGTCATGGGCTTGCTTTTCTCGCTAAAACTGAAAGTGCCTTTCAGTGAGTCGTCAAATTGTGGTGACAGCGCCGCCAAGACTTGACCAGCATGTGGTGGATGAAAACACCTCGGGGTGGAAGTGACCAGCGCCTTCAATGCGCTCCGTCTGACCAAAATTCCTGCGTCAAGGCGGACTCTCCGTCACCCTGCCGCCAAGCACGACTTGCAGACCAGCCGTTTGCCGAACGAGGAACTGATTTTCTTGCGAAAAAGATGGCTCCGCAGTGCAAGCAATTATAAGCCTTGCTGAGCTAAGGTTCCCACTAAGTACGGAATTGTTCCATACGGAAACCAAGTCAAGCAGGGTACGCACGTGTAGGATACGGTATCTTTTTACTGATCAGCAGATCCCTCTTATAATCGCTTTTGCTCCGCGGACATCAAGTCGATCGACCGTGAGCAGACCAAGAGAGCGAGTGCAGCAGTAGAGAGAGAGAGAGAGAGAGAAAGAGAGGAAAAGCTAAGCAAGCAGGCCACAAGTATGGGCGGCACGGAGTCCAACGAAGTGGCAAAGGACGATGCGCGTCTGCAGCAGCAGCAGGTCAAGAGACCCGCATCTAAAAAGCCCGAGGTCAAGCAGCCAAAGGCCAAGCAACTGAAAGCCAAGAAACCTGAGGCCACCACGACGGCCAAGGACGGCTCCACGACTGTGGTTTCCACGGCTGCGGACGGCACTACGACGTCGATCACGACCAGCACTGACGGCAGCACCGTCACCACCGTCGTGACGCGGCCCGATGGCTCGAGTGAGACGACTACCGAGATCGTCACCACCACAGAGACGGAGGTAGACGTGACGCAGCAGGAAATGAGCCCCACGGCTGCTGCAGCGGCTCGCGCCGTTGCCGACTTCGAGAGCGTGAGCGAGGAGACGGCCACGCAGAGTCTCACGGAGCTCGCCTGGCACGCGTGGAGTGCCAGTGCCACGGCAGCTGCCATGGGTGTTAAGACGGTGACATCGGAGACACTGCGCGCCCTGAGTGAGAACTCGGGTGTGTTCTTCACCAGCACCGTCGTGGCACCGCAGACCAGCACGCGCACTGACGTGGCTGGTCTGAAGGCTGATGGAGAGTGGAAAAAGGAGGATTTCAAGAACATGTTGCCTGCCTTCTTGGCGTATGTGACGGATCACGGTCGCCGCATCGAGACGCTGACCGCGGTGGAGTTGTTCATTTTTGCGCGTGCATTTTGTCGTTTCCGAGTGTTAAAACATCAAGTGGATCATGAAAAAGAAAAACAAAAAAGTATGGCGGAGCGCGTACTGGCCGTCGCCAGTCGCCGCTCCAAGGAGCGTAAGTTTGCGTGGGAACTCACCCGTGCTTTCACGCTCTTCTACCCGGAGTTCTCCATCCGCCGCCGCGGTCTGCGCTTCAGCAAGACCAACGCGGTGCTCATGGACGAGGCTCAGGTGGAGAGCGAGTCATCGTTCGAGTTCATCTCGATCAATCGTCGTTTGTCCAAGTGGTTGAGCAAAGTTATTGTGATTTCACTATTGCGTGACGCATCTGAGGACTGCACTCGTGCGAGGAATGTCATTGTGCTGCACGACGGAGAGGTTGTGCGTAGCGGTTCATGGGATGAGATCATCAAGTATGTGCAGGAGTTAGGTGTTCAATGTCCGCCACAGAAAGATGTGGCGATGTGTTTAAGCGACAAGAAGACGACAGCGGCGCTCTTTGACCCACTTGAAGCAACGGTCAACTCCACGACGATCTATAGGCTTGCCGATGAAGTGATTTTGCTCGCTGGATCCCCTATTGTGGAGGATCAAGCGGAAAGTGACCGTGGTCTCATGAACGTCGGGTGCTTCAGCAAGATGCAAGCTGTATCGTCGTCGAAGCAGGCAGAAGATTCGGGTAAACCGAAGACAGGTGCCTTCATGTACGAATTCAACTCGGATGGCAGTTTTTCTGACAGCGACGAGGAAGAAGGCTTTGATGCCGGGGAGTGGCTCATGTCGTGGTTCCAGCCAACGACTGAGAGTCCGCCGCTCACTACGAAAGCTGCTGCTCGGAAACTTATCACCAACTGGGAAGCCAAAAAGCAACAAAAAACATCCTCACCAGGTAAGACGGTGGAGACAGAAGTGTTCCAATCGGAAGCAGAGGATGGCAGTATCGTAACCAAAACGGTCCGCACCACGAGGCGTACGATGAGATCTACCACAGGAGCATTCATTACCACGACCGAGGTGGAGACGACGACAGAGACACAGACCAAGGGCGGTGCCAAGAGCACCACAGTGGAGACGGAGACGACGACGGAGACCGCCACCGAGACGGCCGCGACGACGTCGATCCTGGCTTCGACTGCCGGCATGACGCCGGTCAGCTCGATCGAGGAGGCTGGCGCTGCCCCCGGCGAGACGGTGAAGACGGAGGTGTTCCGCTCGGAGGAAGCGGACGGCAGCATCGTGACCAAGACAGTGCGCACGACCACACGCACGGAGACGACCCCTGCCGGCGAGCTTGTGACTACGATCGAGGTGGAGACGACGACGGAGACGCAGACCAAGGGCGGTGCCAAGAGCACCACAGTGGAGAC